TAATAATATTAAAGTTATTAATATAATTATGATATTATTTGTTACAATATTACTATTATATTATATTATATTATATTATATTATATTACAAGTCTGAATTTTAAATTGGGAAGATTGTAAATTTTAAATTTCATTAGGGATATTATGGGTATTATAAAAGTTTCATTAATTGTACTAGTTGATTCCCGCAATATTTAAAAGCTAAAGTTTTCTTTATGCTACTTCTGATTTTGGCTGTAAATTCTCAAAAAATTCTTTAAAAAGCACTTTTGAAGAGATTTATCAAACACTAAAATCAATTTCTGTTACAAGCATAAGCTGATTTTGGAAGGAAAAAATAATATCAAACTAAACCTTAATCTACTAAGAGAATAAAATATCATAAAATACTAACAGAATTTAAATAAAAAGATAAAATTGACCCTAAACGATATATTTAATCAATGATAAACTCGAGTTAATTATTAAAAAATTCAAGTTTATCATTAAAATAAATTCTAATTTGTCAGTGATATATTCAAGTTAATCATTGATAAACTTTAATAAAATACTAAGAAAAAAATAAATCAAATATAATTTATTAAAGATAAACTCAAGTAATATGATTTATCAGACATATAGGTAATATATTAAAAAAATAAACACAAATAAATTGTAAATATCTGAATGATACAACATAAAATAATGGAAAAAAATTTACTAGAGTAATAATTTAACAAAGTGATATTGACAAAATAATATTTTTTATTTTTAATAAAGAACGACCACCCAATTATTTCAAAACTGATTATTCTATAATCATTTTATAAATTAAAATTTTTTTCTAAAAAATTATTTTACAAATAAAATTTTATTTCTTGTTAAGTCATTTTTACAAAGGATAGAGAGATTAAAAAATACGCATTAAAATAAATTCTAATTTGTCAGTGATATATTCAAGTTAATCATTAATAAACTTTAATAAAATACTAAGAAAAAAATAAATCAAATATAATTTATTAAAGATAAACTCAAGTAATATGATTTATCAGACATATAGGTAATATATTAAAAAAATAAACACAAATAAATTGTAAATATCTGAATGATACAACATAAAATAATGGAAAAAAATTTACTAGAGTAATTATTTAACAAAGTGATATTAACAAAATAATATTTTTTATTTTTAATAAAGAACGACCACCTAATCATTTCAAAACTGATTATTCTATAATCATTTTATAAATTAAAATTTTTTTCTAAAAAATTATTTTACGAATAAAATTTTATTTCTTGTTAAGTCATTTTTACAAAGGATAGAGAGATTAAAAAATACGCATTAAAATAAATTCTAATTTGTCAGTGATATATTCAAGTTAATCATTAATAAACTTTAATAAAATACTAAGAAAAAAATAAATCAAATATAATTTATTAAAGATAAACTCAAGTAATATGATTTATCAGACATATAGGTAATATATTAAAAAAATAAACACAAATAAATTGTAAATATCTGAATGATACAACATAAAATAATGGAAAAAAATTTACTAGAGTAATTATTTAACAAAGTGATATTAACAAAATAATATTTTTTATTTTTAATAAAGAACGACCACCTAATCATTTCAAAACTGATTATTCTATAATCATTTTATAAATTAAAATTTTTTTCTAAAAAATTATTTTACAAATAAAATTTTATTTCTTGTTAAGTCATTTTTACAAAGGATAGAGAGATTAAAAAATACGCATTAGTAGAACCAAATAACAAATTTCACAGTGTAATAATTTCAAACTGACAAAATAATGACCGTGTTTAGAATTGATTTTGTTTTTATTTTTCACATTTTTTTAA